TGGAGTAAACCTGGAAGGGTGTTCGCGGGGGGTCAACGCCCCCGCGGCCCAGTCCTTGACCAGGCCTCCCAGTGGATCAGGGCCTGATCAACCGGACCTTTACTGCTGACCGCACGTACGTAGTCCAACATCTGAAATAAGTCCTGAATGACCATCACATTACCTAGACTGGTCCACTGGAAAATTTGCCTTGCTGGAAGGTTTTACCACGTGTCCTCAGTGACTGACGCTCTCATGCAGATTCCAGAATCATCTTCAGGCGTGTGTGTGTGTGTACTCACCTATTTGTGGTTGCAGGGGTCGATTCATAGCTCCTGGCCCCGGTGTGTGTGTGTGTGTGTTTGCGTGCGTGTGCGTGCGTTTTCGTGCGTGTGTATTAGTTACCATTTTGTCCTAGGCACATGTCAATTAGACACTAAGCCTGTTGTATATGCGTGCATGGATGGGTATGTGTGTGTATGTGTGTGTGTGTGTGTGTGTGTGTGTGTGTGTGTGTGTTTGTGTGTTTGTGTGTGTTGCTCTGGGTTCTGTCTGGAGAGTGTTCCGGGGGTCAACGCCCCCCGTGGCCAGGTCCATAACCAGGCCTCCCGGTGGATCAAGGCCTGATAAGCCAGGTTGTTACTCAACCAAGCTGTTACTCTGATCATCCAGGCTGTTACCCCGATCATCCAGGCTGTTACTCTGATCATCCAGGCTGTTACTCCGATCATCCAGGCTGTTACTCCGATCCTCCAGGCTGTTACCCTTATCATCCAGGCTGTTACTCGGATCATCCAGGCTGTTACCCTGATCATCCAGGCTGTTACTCCGATCATCCAGGCTGTTACTCTGATCATCCAGGCTGTTACCCTGATCATCCAGACTGTTACTCGGATCATCCAGGCTGTTACCCTGATCATCCAGGCTGTTACTCTGATCATCCAGGCTGTTACTCCGATCATCCAGGCTGTTACCCTGATCATCCAGGCTGTTACTCCGATCATCCAGGCTGTTACTCTGATCATCCAGGCTGTTACCTTGATCATCCAGGCTGTTACTCGGATCATCCAGGCTGTTACCCTGATCATCCAGGCTATTACTCGGATCATCCTGGATGTTACTGTCAATGCGTCTTCCAGTCTTCCTTCTTACCAGTTTTTCATTGCTATGATAACGTTGACTCAAAATGCTATCAATAATTAGATTTTTATAATTGCTTTCCTGCAGGTTTTGTGACAGAAGCTATTACCGTCTCGCCTGTGTCACGGTTCTGTGTCAAGGTTCTGTGTCACGGTTCTGTGTCACGGTTCTGTGTCACGGTTCTGTGTCAAGGTTCTGTGTCACGGTTCTGTGTCACGGTTCTGTGTCACGGTTCTGTGTCAAGGTTCTGTGTCACGGTTCTGTGTCACGGTTCTGTGTCAAGGTTCTGTGTCACGGTTCGGTGTCAAGGTTCTGTGTCAAGGTTCTGTGTCAAGGTTCTGTGTCACGGTTCTGTGTCAAGGTTCTGTGTCAAGGTTCTGTGTCACGGTTCTGTGTCAAGGTTCTGTGTCACGGTTCTGTGTCAAGGTTCTGTGTCAAGGTTCTGTGTCACGGTTCTGTGTCACGGTTCTGTGTCAAGGTTCTGTGTCACGGTTCTGTGTCAAGGTTGTGTCAAGGTTCTGTGTCAAGGTTCTGTGTCAAGGTTCTGTGTCACGGTTCTGTGTCAATGTTCTGTGTCAAGGTTCTGTGTCACGGTTCTGTGTCAAGGTTCTGTGTCACGGTTCTGTGTCAAGGTTCTGTGTCAAGGTTCTGTGTCACGGTTCTGTGTCAAGGTTCTGTGTCACGGTTCTGTGTCAAGGTTCTGTGTCAAGGTTCTGTGTCAAGGTTCTGTGTCAAGGTTCTGTGTCAAGGTTCTGTGTCAAGGTTCGTGTGTCAAGGTTCTGTGTCACGGTTCTGTGTCAAGGTTCTGTGTCACGGTTCCTTTTGTCAAGGTTCTGTGTCAAGGTTCTGTTCAAGGTTCTGTGTCACGGTTCTGTGTCAAGGTTCTGTGTCAAGGTTCTGTGTCAAGGTTCTGTGTCACGTTCTGTGTCAAGGTTCTGTGTCAAGGTTCTGTGTCACGGTTCTGTGTCAAGGTTCTGTGTCACGGTTCTGTGTCAAGGTTCTGTGTCAAGGTTCTGTGTCAAGGTTCTGTGTCAAGGTTCTGTGTCACGGTTCTGTGTCAAGGTTCTGTGTCACGGTTCTGTGTCAAGGTTCTGTATCAAGGTTCTGTGTCAAAGGTTCTGTTCAAGGTTTCTGTGTAAGGTTCTGTGTCAAGGTTCTGTGTCAAGGTTCGGTCTGGATATAACACTTATATGCCGTAAACACACTCTTTTTTAACTGTATATTGATACGGACTTCTGGGAGTGTGAGGTTAAAACTAAGGTGATGTGAGTGAGACAAGGTGGGGCTCCCCACAGGAACTCTGCGTAACAGAGGATTGAGAACCACAGTTGGGTCTTGCTGTGATAGCGGTGGTGATCGTCTGTTCGCCTGGAAACAGGACAATGTAATCAGTCCATCAACCTTGAAGAAAAAGTATTTGAGGTGGTTAGTCCTTCAGCCTGGAGAAGAGTTCAGCTTCATGGTATAGTTTGTAGATGAATGGTTCAGAGAACCGACATGTGTCTAATTTATCAGAACGATATGAAGCTGAAGCATGAGAACGGAGTTTTAAATACTGTCGAAGGTGAGGTGGAATATCTCGAGATATTCCACCTACTGCTCCTTCGGTATTTGACTGAAGAAGTCTACTGTGTAGGCGAAACGTTTCATCCATAAAGATACCCAACTCTGTACATGTGTCTTGATGTTCAACTTCTCGGTATTTTATACCATTTTCAACAAGCAGAACAATGTCTCCTGAGACAGGTGTTAGCAGTGACCTGCAGCGTCTGGGCTACACCACGGTATCACCCCATTAAAAAAAAAAAAAAAACAGTGCATAGAACATTTCCCCCAGATACTTCCAGAACTCAAGAGCTAGTATCTTCGGCTCACAAACGAAGATTCGGGTTCGATTCCGAGGCAGGTGGAGACATTGGGCATGTTTCCTTAAGTAGATAAATTGTTCAGAGAATCGACAAGTTGATACATTAGACACATGTGCAACACTTGGGTATCTTTATCGAGGAAACGTTTCGCCACACAGTGGCTTCATCAGTCCGTTACAAAGAAGAATGGTGAAGATCAGGAGTTTGAGGTAATCAGTCCCTCAGCCTGGAGTCGATGTAATCCCTTGTTAAGAGCCTGTAGTCCTTTGGTAGAGTCTGTGGTCCCTTGTTAGAGTCTGTGGTCCCTTGTTAGAGCCTGTGGTCCCTTGTTAGAGCCTGTGGTCCCTTGTTAGAGCCTGTGGTCCCTTGTTAGAGTCTATGGTCCCTTGTTAGAGCCTGTGGTCCCTTGTTAGAGTCTGTGGTCCCTTGTTAGAATCTGTGGTCCCTTGTTAGTCTGTGGTCCCTTGTTAGAGCCTGTGGTCCCTTGTTGGAGTCTGTGGTTCGTTGTTAGAGTCGGTGGTCCCTTGTTGGCGTCTGTGGTCACTTGTTAGAGCCTGTGGTCCCTTGTTAGAGTGTGATTCCTTGTTAGAGTCTGTGATCCCTTGTTAGAGTCTGTGGTCCCTTGTTAGAGCCTTTGGTCCCTTTTTAGAGTCTGTGGTCCCTTGTTAGATCCTGTGGTCACTTGTTAGAGCCTGTGGTCCCTTGTTAGAGTGTGATCCCTTGTTAGAGTCTGTGGTCCCTTGTTAGAGTCTGTGGTCCCTTGTTAGAGCCTTTGGTCCCTTGTTAGAGTCTGTGGTCCCTTGTTAGAGCCTTTGGTCCCTTTTTAGAGTCTGTGGTCCCTTGTTAGAGCCTGTGGTCACTTGTTAGAGCCTGTGGTCCCTTGTTAGAGTGTGATTCCTTGTTAGAGTCTGTGATCCCTTGTTAGAGTCTGTGGTCCCTTGTTAGAGCCTGTGGTCACTTGTTAGAGCCTGTGGTCCCTTGTTAGAGTCGGTGGTCCCTTGTTAGAATCTGTGGTCCCTTGTTAGAATCTGTGGTCCCTTGTTAGAGCCTTTAATCTCTTGTTAGAGTCAGTGGTCCTTTGTTAGAATTTGCGGCCTCTTTTTGGAGTCTGTGGTCCCTGGAGTCCGTGGTCCCTTGTTAGAGTCTGTGATCCCTTGTTAGAGTCTGTGGTCTCTTGTTAGAGTCTGTGGTCACTTGTTAGAGTCTGTGGTACCTTGTTAGAGCTTGTGGACCCTTGTTAGAGTCGGTGGTCCCCTGTTAGAGTCTGTGGTCCCTTGTTAGAAACTGTGGTCCCTTGTTAGAGCCTTTAATCTCTTGTTAGAGTCAGTGGTCCCTTGTTAGAATTTGTGGTCCCTTGTTAGACTGTGATCCCTTGTTAGAGTCTGTGGCCCATTGTTAGAGTCTGTGATCCCTTGTTAGAATCTGTGGTCCCTTGTTAGAGTGTGGTCCCTTGTTAGAGTGTTGTCCCTTGTTAGAGTGTGGTCCCTTGTTAGAGTCTGTTGTCCCTTGTTAGAGTCTGTGATCCCTTGTCAGAGTCTGTGTTCCCTTGTTAGAGTCTGTGATCCCTTGTTAGAATCTGTGGTCCCTTGTTAGTGTGGTCCCTTGTTAGAATGTGGTCCCTTGTTAGAGCCTTTGGTCCCTTTTTAGAGTCTGTGGTCCCTTGGTAGAGCCTATGGTCTCTTGTTAGAGCCTGTGGTCCCTTGGCACAGCCTGCGTCTGCCAACCCCAGAGTCACAGGTTCGAGTACTCTATATTTCATTTAAGAACATAAGAATGGAGGAACAGTGCAGCAGGCCTACTAGCCCATACAAGGCAGGTCCTACTAGCCCATACAAGGCAGGTCCTCCTCAAAACCACCCCTGTATTCCTCCAACGTTTTCTAAAAACCACCCAAGAATTTGCTTGCGTGCGCCAGACACCAATAAAACCCAGCCCATCCCACTCATATATGTCTTCCACATTCTGGTATTACAGAATTTAAGTTTGTTCTAACTGAAGAACTTTTTCTTCCAGGTAGATGACTCCGGAAGTCAGTCAGAATTGAACAGCTGGTCCAGGTAAGGCTGTTTAGTGTTCACGGTTCACTATCAGTGTCCTCTCTTTAACTTTTCAAATGTATGGGATTAAAAGCATTGCTGGATCATACACCAGGAGGCGGAGGAGGAGGTGGAAATAAATGGTATAAAATACCGACACCATGGAAATATGAACACATAAGCAGTATAATGTGATCCTTTATTGACAATGTTTCGCCCACACAGTGGGCTTTATCAAGTCACAAACAAATCTACCTGGGTGTGACAATCTTCCGAGTAGGGTGATAGAGTCCAGTCTCTTTTTAAAGCTACCCAAGGTCCTAGACTCCATCACCCTACGCGGAAGATTGTCACAGCCCGTTCAGATCCAACATACCAAGTATTCTTCGCCGGACTCCATCCTATAAATATTCACATACCTTTCACCCAGGTAGATCTGTTTATGACTTGATAAATCCCATTGTGTGGGCGAAGCACTATCAATAAAGGATCACATTATACTGCATATGCGTTTATATTTCCAGAAGGAGGAGGTAGTGGAAGAAGAATACACTCGCTCCCAGGATCACACGAGAAAGGGAGGTTACCTGGAGGTTATTCCGGGATTCAACGCCCCCGCGGCCCGGTCCATGACCAGTCCTCCCGGTGGATCAGGGCCTGATCAGCCAGGCTGTTACTGCTGGCCGCACGCAGTCCAACGTACAAGCCACAGCCCGGCTGATCCGGCACTGACTTTAGGTATCTGTCCAGCTTTCTCTTGAAGGCAGCCAGGGGTTTATTGGTAATTCCCCTAATGCTTGATGGGAGGCTGTTGAACAGTCTTGGGCCCCGGACACTCATGGTGTTTTCTCTTAGTGTACCAATGGCTCCCCTACTTTTAATTGGGGATATTTTGCATCGCCTACCCAGTCTTTTACTTTCGTAGGGAGTGATTTCTGTGCGCAGATTCGGGACCATTCCTTCCAGGATTTTCCAAGTGTAGATTATGATATCTCTCTCTCTCCTGCGTTCCAACGAGTACAAGTCAAGTGCTTCCAAGCGTTCCCAGTAGTTAAGGTGGTTGACAGAACTTATACGTGCAGAAGTATACACACACACACACACTAGGATGATACATCAGAGGGGAAAGGGGAAGCATATAAATCCCCCTTTGAGTATACACCAGACTGGGGATGTATATACACACCCACAGGATCAGACACCAGAATATGGGGGGGGGGAGAATATGCACACACACACACACACACACACACACACTGTAGGATTATACACCAGAGGAAGGATGAAATATATACACCTCCCTGGGATCATACACCATTTGGGGGAAGTATATACAATCCCACTAGGATTATACACTAGAAGGGAGAAGTATATTTGCACCCATACACTCCCCTTGGATTAAACATCCTTGTAGATGAATGGTTCAGAGAACCGACACGTTGATAAATTAGGCACATGTGCAACTCTTGGGTATCTTTATTGAGGAAACGTCTCGCCACACAGTGGCTTCATCAGTCCATACAAAGGAGAAACTTGAAAACAGGAGGAGAATGAGGTAATCAGTCCCTCAACCTTGAGTCGATGTGGTCAGTCCATCAATCTTGAATAGAATACGGCATATGTGCAGAGAAGCAGCTTATAAACCGTAGGCAGGAGAGGTGCAGCAGTCGTAGGTGGTGTCACATTTGTTCAGTGTGGAAGTAGGTCGTGCCCAAGGGTTAGACAAGCGAAGAATTCCCAAGTATTAAGATCCCAAGAAGTTGCAATGTCTGACAGGATTGTAGATGAATGGTTCAGAGAACCGACACGTTGATAAATTAAACACATGTGCAACTCTTGGGTATTTTCATTGAGGAAACGTTTCCTCAGTAAAGATACCCAAGAGTTGCACATGTGTCTAATTGATTAAACATCCTTGTTTTAACCACCCACACCAGGATGTGACTGGTTAAAACAAGGATGCTTATGTCTTGTTCCCTCGTGTTGATGGTTAAAACAAGGATGGTCATATGTTGTTCTGACTCACGAAATCGTAATGACACGATTGCAAGGATGGTCATGTCTTGTTCCCTCGTGTGGGTGGTTAAAACAAGGATGGTTATGTCTTGTTCCTTCTCTTGGATGGTTCAAACAAGGATCGTTATGTCTTGTTCCCTCGTGTGGATGGTTATGTCTTGTTCCCTCGTGTGGATGGTTAAAACAAGGATGGTTATGTCTTGTTCCCTCGTGTGGATGGTTAAAACAAGGATGGTCATGTCTTCTTCCCTCGTGTGGATGGTTAAAACAAGGGTGGTCTTATACTTCAACGTGATCATTTCACATGCCAATTGTTAATCAGTTTGTATGTTCGTACTGGAAGGGAAATAGAGACACCGGTAGCAGAAAATTCTCTTGATACAACGTTTCGCCCGAGGTTGGGCTTTATCAGGTACTGTTGAAAATGAACATCAAAATGGTATACAATACCCACAGGTTGGTAGGTAAGACACATAGGCAACAGTTAGGCAACTTTATTCCGAAACGTTTCGCCTACACAATAGGCTTCTTCAGTCGAATACAGAAAGTAGGCAGGAACAGTAGAGATGTGAAGACGATGTAATCAGTCCATCACCCTTGAAGTCGTAGAATTTGAGGTTGTCAGTCCAGGCTCAGGGACTGACAACCTCAAATTCTACGACTTCAAGGGTGATGGACTGATTACATCGTCTTCTCATCTCTACTGTTCCTGCCTACTTTCTGTATTCGACTGAAGAAGCCTATTGTGTAGGCGAAACGTTTCGGAATAAAGTTGCCGAACTGTTGCCTATGTGTCTTACCTACTGTTGAAAATGTTATAAAATACCGACAAGTTGAAGATTGTTGCCTGCAGAGAGTATGTAATCTTTATTCGGAGCATGTTAACACACTCAATCAGGCTGCCGCACCAACCAGCGAACCAGATGCTAAGGATCGGACGATCCTTAGCAATTGTGAAGGTGATGTGGTTACTACTCACTTTTCACCCTTGTCATTTCCATTCTAAAGCTGATTGAAGCATGGTGGTCTGCTGTCTCGCTCTAAGTTTAGAGTGTGGCTTTATGTCACAATAAAAGCTGAGCTCTGTCTAATGAGTTGGATGGTTGAGAGGAAAGGCAGTTCCATTATACTGTGCCATGGCAGCATGTTTACCCATTGAGGTGGAAGCCTAGTCCTGAGCCCTCTTGGGGTGAGGGTGTTGCATGCAAAGAGTATGTAATCTTTATTCAGAGCATGTTAACACATTCACATAGGCTGCCTCACCAACCAGCGAACCAGATGCCAAGGATCGGACGATCCAACAGGGCCCCCATCGTCAGATCATTATCTAGATTAAGTCAGTGAGAATGTGGATCTGGCAATTGTGAAGGTGACATGGTTACCACTCACGTTTTCACCCTTGTCATTTCCATTCTAGAGCTGGTTGAAGCACGGTGGTCTGCTTTATCTTGGCTGCTATTCTGCCTTATTACCATGGTGTGCACTAATACCTATTGCTGTACATAGTATATATAGTGTACATATTGCTGTTTATACTTGGTGAAGGATAATATAATTCAAAGTTTTTCTGTGTTTATTTTGCTCCCTTTACACCCAGGATAACAGGCCTTTGAGAACCTGCGTTGTAATAAAGATTAAGACGCATGTGAAACAGTTGGGTCTCTTTATTGATGAAACGTTTCGCCTACACTAGGCTTCTTTAGTCAAATATAGAGGGAGCAGTAGTAATGAAATAAAGATGAGTCCATCAACCCTGGAGGAAAAGTATTTTAGGTGGTCAGTCTCTTAGCCTGGAGAAGAGTTCAGCTTCATGGTCTGGAACGATATGAAACTGAAGCATGAGAACGGAGTCTTAAATACTGTCGAAGGTGAGGTGGAAGATCTCGAAGACGTTGTAGGGGACGGAATCCACCAGTGGACTGGACTGCAGTCAGACACTGCAGCACAATGGTATCTACCACTCTTCATCGCGTATCGACTAGTTATGAGTGAGAAGGGTTGGATTCCAGAGGGACCTGCCTTCTTCCACTAGTGAATCCCGTCCCCTACAAGAGATCTTCCAACTTACCTTCGACAATATTTAGGTCTCCGTTCTCGTGCTTCAGCTTCATATCGTTCCTGGCCATCAAACTGAACTCTTCTCCAGGCTGAGGGACTGACCACCTCAAATACTTTTTCTCCAAGGCTGATGGACTCATCTTTATTTTATTACTACTGCTCCCTCTGTATTTAACTGAAGAAGCCTATTGTGTAGGCGAAACGTTTCACCAACATAGATACCCACCTGTTACACATCTCTTAATCTTTACCAAGTACACAGGAGTCAGCAAATACACCGCCTTAAAAGTCATGGGAGCACCATGAGGACAAACTAGGAGAGACAGGTCACGTGATGTGAGGTCATGAAATTGCGATAAATGAGATCGGATATTGGTAGTTCTAAGGGGTAAGGTTTACTGTATTTAATATGTGAGTCACTGTAAGCAATAAATCCATCCAGCACATACATTCAGCTGTTTTGTTCAATGGTATTGGTGAGGTGGATCACTGCTGCTGTTTCCAGAATTCTATGTCTGGGCCGGGATATATAATGTGTTCTCACCGCAGCCTAGCAAGACCTCCCATTCCCTCTCTTCCCAAGTGTTAGGTTGGAACCCCTCACGATGTTTGCTGAAAATCAAAGTACTAGGATTATTATGTTCGATAAAGAAGGGAAAATAGTCATTCTTAACAGTGACGACTACCAGGACAAAATGAATTTCTTTGTGACTTTGTCAATGGTCCAAGTCGGACCGAAACGTCGTCGTAACCTTCTCTCTTTTATGTGCGGGTTATTTGTGTATGAATCTTCTTAGTGACCGAGACACCTATGAGAGCATCACACCTCAGACACTGGACAGAGAAACTACATCTCTTCCTAGAGATAGTAGATTTTTTTTTCATGCTTTCCACACTGCGAAATAAAGTCTGTTAATTGTTTCCTATTAAAAAGAACCTACACACAT